ATTTCCATGTCCTTTTTAAGTTGAGGGCACCAGAACTGCACACAATACTCCAGGTGAGGTCTCACGAGAGCAGAGTAGAGGGGCAGGATCACCTCCTTCGACCTGCTGGTCACGCTCCTTTTGACACAGCCCAGGATACAGTTGGCTTTCTGGGCTGCGAGTGCACACTGAAGCTGGCTCATGTTAAGTTTCTCATTGACCAACACCCCCAAGCCCTTCTCTGCAGGTCTGCTCTGAATCTCTTCTCTGCCCAACCTGTAGCTGTGCCTGGGATTGCTCCGACCCAGGTGTAGGACCTTGCACTTGGCATGGTTAAACTTCATGAGGTTGGCATCAGCCCACCTCACAAGCGTGTCCAGGTCCCTCTGGATGGCATTCCTTCCCTCCAGCATATCAACTGAACCACATAGCTTGGTGTCATCGGCAAACTTGCTGAGGGCACACAATAATAATGATGTGTTGTCTGGCTGTTTGTCATTCCACACCCTTCCACTGCAGCTTTGCCTTTCAGACAGATTTCTAAGCTACCACTTGTTCCAGTTTTATTCTGTTGGTCACACCAATTAGCAATTTTAAGGCAGGATGGGTTAATATGAAGTTAAGTACCACAGGTCATTTAGAGGCTGCTTCTGGCAGGGCAACAGAAGAATTTCAATGTGAACTACTAGACCATCAGTGCTTCATCTTTTTTCTGTAACCCATGATGGGACAGACACTGAAATTTGAAATTACTAAATTCAGGTTCTGCCAGTTACCATTTATTTTGAATAAAATAGAAGATAATTATATCATGGGTAACTATCTTGTTTATTTCTTTCATTAAGATGCAGCCGTTCAGAGGTGAAGGGACTAAATTATAAAGCTTTCAAACTATAGCACTGGTGGTTTTAGAAAACTCTTCTCATCTACTCCAGTTGCCAAAGCCGAGCAACATATGCATTTGGACATTTGCCTTCTGCTCTATGTTTATATTCTTGTTTTTAAAAAATGTATTTTTGAAGGGTTTTGCCTGCTTGTTCACACTGCCCAAAGACACTCACTTTAATGAAGGAAAATAATAGGGAAGACCACACAATAAAGGGTGGGAAAATGACTAAAATACAGCTGGAAAGAAAAAGGGAGAGGCATCTCTTCCCTCCCCTCACCTCTTCCAGTTATCTTAGGTACCATTTATAAACCGCCTACATAAAACATTCTAGGTACAGCCACCATTTTAATAAATTAATTGCTTTGAAACCTTGCAGTGAAAATACAAACTCACGGAAGGGCTTGCACAGTGCTTACTCTGTCAACATCACGAATCTGATCCCGTAATACCATACTACAGGAAAACTTTTGTTACTGTAACTTTCCACAGAGTTAATCCTGAGATGCCTGGGTCCAGCATGGCTCATGTGGTGTCTGAGCATCGGTCAAGTGAAGAGAAGTTTGCAGATCCTGCCTGTTGCTAAAAAATAAGTAAGAAGAGGGAGTGGAGCAGTATGAAGGAACCCTCCAGCAATACAAGGACTGTAAAAAGAGAACTGTCAGGGCAGAAAATGCAGAAAACACCCGTAATTGAGAATAGTCCCCAGATGATTCAAAATAACTTACTTCTTCACACACGTCAGTCAGCCACAGGAGCTGATCATAAAGCTCAAGCTAAACCCAGGATCTGGTTCTTTTTCACCATACCCTTCTTGGGAAGAAAACAGTACTGAAAGTTACCTGCTTCTATCCCATCCATGTATGTGTGACTGAGACTGCATTACAATACATTTTCATCGTGCTGAAGGCATCTACTCTTACTTCTGTTTCCATTTTGACTGCTTGAGTTCAGACAGCTGTATGAACACGACCTTTTATTTACTTCAGGGCCCAGCATTACAAAACCAGAAAAACACAATCAGTGTCCATCCAGGGGTCTCATTCGGGAGTCTGTGCAGTGTACCTGTTACCACGGAAACAAGGGAGGGCTGGCATACTGTTATTTCTGTCTTGCAAAAGAATTCACCAACCCCGCCGGTAAATAAAGTTCATAAATCAACAAAACAGAATCAAGGTCAAGTAACTGAAGATGAAGCAGTAGTGCTGCATGGGTCACCTTCATTGTTAGTAAGTACTAAGGTACAAGCCTTTCAAGTTCCTTCGAGCTGTTATGCAGATCCATCACGGAAACATTTGGCTCAAGTTTTGGAGTATTTTTCACAGAGAAGGAACCAGAAAAGCCAATAAACCTCCCTCTCACCCTGTTTTACTTCACAGAAAGGTGTGCAGCAATAAACTTTGAAAGCAGAGCCTTAGGTTGAGCTAGTTACACTTGAATTACCAGATGCATAACGATCCTTGAGAGGACTAATTGCCACATACATTTCTGGGAAGTGCCTGACCACCTCCGAGGGCTGCGCCTGGATGGGTTATCACCCCCACAGTGCAGATGTGGAAAAACAGTGGCACCAAGGAAATGAGAGCCAAGGGTGGGATTACAGCTCTGCCCACACCTAAGACCCTCAGACCTCTTTTGTCTGCATTTTATAATGAACAGGGAAGGGAGGCAGAGAGGCATAAGATCAGGAGACCAAAAAGACCAAAACATGCTGGAACTCCAAGAGTCTCCTCGGAGCTGGAGTGTGTGGACACCCAACAGCCCAGTCAAGCTGGCACCGAGGTGAGGATTGGTGGCAGCTCAAGAAAGATGCAGTGGTGAGTGCCAGATGTGAACTGGTGGTGAAGCAAACTGCCGCAGCTTTGGGAACTCAGGGACTATGGACCCATTATCACTGAGTGAACAAAACAGAATTACACTGTGCTTTTGAAACTTCCAGTAAGTTCTGTTACAGGAAACATCCTGGTGTAGTACAGATACTACCAGTGCATCAGTACAGGAGCAACACCAACATCGATTTGCTTGAAAACCGAAACAACCCAAAACACCAGCTTCCTAACAGTGGCTGGAGAAGAACCTGAACTGTTACGATTCTTGCACAAGTTTTAGGTTACCTCCTGGAAACATACTATTTTAGTGGCATCCGAACAAGAGCTGCGTTACGCTCTTGAGATAAATTACTGGCAACAGCAGAACGAGGAACTCCATTGTGTATTTCTCTCATGATAAGCTTTTCACTGCATATAAGACCACCTATTATCCCTTGAACAGTAGCTGTTAATACTTAGTTCACCCAGTACCTCTTTGTCAATTCTTATCTCTTTATTACTCACCTGGGAGCAAGTTTTTTAAACTATTGGGTTGGTTTGTTGGCTTACCTATAATCCAACAAGTCCTATAAAGGATTTCAAAGGGCTGATAAACTTGAGAACAAGGTTGAAAAACAGCTTTTTGCTGAAAGGCACTGGTGGAGGGGGAAGAGGGGCTGTGGGTATCATTTAGCCAGGTCACGTGCTGGGCTCAGCACAGGGCAGCAGGTGAGTGCATGAACCGTGTGACTTCCGACTTTGACTCTTGTGTGGCTTTAGAAGTGGGCAAAAATAGGTTTAGCCAAGCCTGAAATGATGTTTGTAAAACAACTGGCAGACCTGACCCCCAAGGCGTTTTCAGTGGACTCCCAGTAATGCCAGTCAGATGGAAGGAGCACATGTGCTGTGGGGCAGACGTGCAGCTCCAGCGTGGTGCTGGCTGGGGTTATTAGGTTAATTGCAGTACTACATGAGTACAGCCCTGTCAGTCTGAGCTCTGAATTATATAGAGGGGAATAGAAGCAGCCACAGGGGGAAACAGGAACTGGTCAGTCCTGACCTGAAAAGACCTTTGGGGGCTACTCTGCTTAAAGAAGAAAAAAATCAACAAAAACAAGCCTAGTCCCTGGCCTGAAAAGTTGACATCCAGAATTTAGTGAAGGGATGTAATAATTTAATTTATGCAAATTCTCACTGCTGCTAACAAGCACACTAAGAGCTTGGTCCCACTTCTTTTCAAATCAACAGAAAAAAGGAAAACCATTACTGCCCCCGGCAGCTCACAGTCAAGCTTTTAGCATCCATCACAGTTTTAGCTTTGCAGCAGTGTTTGTAGAGGTTGTATTTCTGAGAAGGATGATGGAGGAATGGTGGAGAAGGCAGACAAAAGCAAACTTCACAGATTAACAACTGAAGTGTTGAAAGCCAGGCATGTATGAGGACGTCATTTTTACCCGGTGTATTGTTTTGTTTCTATGACAGATCTTCATTCACTCGAGTGGAAACAGCCTTACTCTTCATCTAGTACTACTGAGTAACCAGCTGTGTTCATGGGATATTTATAACCATTAACACTAGATGGAAGGTGAGTTTTAACGCATGTGTCACAGTTACTTCTTTGGCTGGAGAGTGGCTGTTTCTGACAGCCGGAATTGAATCACAGAAAGCTCAATAGCTCTCCACCTTTTTCGCTCTTTGCTTTGGCACTTAACCGTCTTTTCCAAGCTTGTTTCACGGTTTTCTGGCTCCCTTTATCGCTCTGCCTCGTCTCAGTGACAAGCCAAGTTTGCGAGGGGCTGCCTTCCCCAGTGCGCACCCTGCTGCCTGCTCGGGCTGGGGCCCAGGGGGACCCCCGGCGCTCCGGCATTCTCCGGGGGGACACAAACCACGGAGCCAGGCACTGCCCTTCTGTCCCCCGCCAGAGCCCACACCGCAGCCCCCAGGCTGCCCCCTCCCACCTCTATTTCATCCGTGGGAAGTAGGGCAGGAAGGGTCGCTTTTCTTACTACAAGAGGATGCAACTCGGGGGGGGGGGGGGGGGCACCCCGCTCCTTACGTTGTGCCAAACGCCGACCCCACTCCCTCCCCACCTCCCCCTGCACCGACACCTCCCGTGCAGCACGGCGGGGCACAGCCCGCGGAAGGACCGGGGGGAGGGCTATGTGTCTGCCCGGGGACGCTTTCCGGAGAGCCCTCCGCCGCGCACAAAGAGAGAGATACCAGGAATACGGGAATACCGGCCGCCCTCCCCCGGCGGGCAGCGCTGGATGCGCACACACAGACACACACACACACACACTCACGGTGCAGCCGGGCGGGTCACGTACCTGCAGGTGCCTGTCGGTGACTGTGCGATATCGTCTGTATCGCATGGGGGGATTACTGTGATATTACAGCTCGGGGGACTTGGGGGGGGGGGGGGGGGGGGCGCTGCTCGGGTCCCCCCGCCCTCTTCTTCCTCCTCCTCCTCCTCCTCCTCCCGTCGTGCGTGTGTGCCCTGCGCTGCGCTGCGCTGCACGGTGGTACTCCGCGCCGGAGGAGGCAGCGGCGGGCCCCGGCTCCTGTCAGCTGCCGGAAACCGGCTCCCGGTCACACACACCGCAGGAAGTGTGCAGCGGCGGCACCGCGCACCGGGCCCGCACCGGGCCCGCTCCACTGGGGCGGGTACCGCGGGGCACCGGGCACGGCGAGGCTGGCGCGGCCCGTGGCAGCCAACCACGGGCGGAAGCAAGGGGGGTATGAGGTCGCCGCGCACCCCTGCGGGCATCCGCGTTGCCGTGTGTGGGAGCCTTTGCCGGTACAAACGAGGAGGGAAGCGCGGCACCGAAAACCGGGCTCACTAACGCTAAGGAACACGCTTCCAGCTGGCACAGAATGATGCCATTCTGGTTATCCCGATGAAGGTCTGTTGGCTTATACCAGCCAATGTGTGTCCGAACCATACCAATCTGTGTCCGAACGACTGCTACTCAGTAGCATTGTCCAGGCATACAGAAATCACTGTTACTTCACCTTTCTGCATGAGATCATGAGTGCAGAAACACGATTTTACCAGTTTTGTGTGGAGTATTTACTCCACATGCATGTATGTGTGCCCCTCCTACCCCAGCCTGCAGAGCAATAAACACTGCAATTTATCTGTTGTGAAAACTGTACATTTCTTGATTTGTCTGCAACCACAGCTCTCAACAGCAACGTTACTCAGATGAGGATTTTTTGTGCAATTAATCATAGGAGGGCTCACGATGAGCTTGCAGCATTTTCTCTGGGTGTTCTCCCTCTTTTGACAAGGCATGTGCCAAAGCAAACTCCACTCATCTCCTCTGTTGGGCTTTCTTCCCCTGCTTTGTTGCATCACTACAGAAACAGACAGGCCTGGCTGTCGCTGCAAGAGTATCGGGGCTTCCAACCCGCCTGTTTGATGCCCCAGAGGTTTCCTTTCCACATCTTCCTTATGCCAACATTTGCAAAACTTGAATGGACTACCACATGCTGCCAGTACGGTGGCAACAGTACTTGCACAAGAATATAATGGAAGCAATCTGGAAATGTATTCATGCCAAAAGTAATGCTCTTTCTGGGTTTGCCTGTGGTGCAGCAGGGGAATTTGGTAGCAGTGTGGACATTGCCTGAGAAGATCACCATCCCTGCTGCTCCTGTTATTTTCTGTAAGATGTCATGTCATTGCCATGTCACTGCAACTCAATGGAGGTCTTTAATACTTGAAGAGCTCACTGGTAGACTTCTAAAGATGCAGAACCCTTAATGGAAGCAGTAATTACACCAGGGAGTAAGGGGAGAGTCTGCCCCCATCCGTAATGATCAAACACATGACACCTTGCTCCCACATCTCACTTGCAGTGCAGGGACTTGGAATCAGAGCACTGGACACTGAGGACAGGACCACCACCTTCCTGGACTCTGCTGTGTCTGTAAGCTCCTGCCAGGGCTGGCATGGGCTGCCTTTCGGTGAGCAGGACCCCATAGGCCACTAAACACACCTCCTGGGCAGAGACTGAATGGGTTGTATGGTTCAAGCCAGTGCCCTCTTTGCCTCCAAGGTGGGGCTGCTGAGCTCTGTTTTTAAGATCAAATAATTACATTTTCCCAGATTATGTCAATAAGGAACTCCTGAATAGGAGAACTGCCTTCTGAATAAACACTGTGCTTCTCTGAGGGCCTTAAAACCAGGAGCATTATGTGCACTCAGGCAACATAAGGGACTTGCTCTTCACTGCTGATCTTCTGTCTTGTTTGTGTCCATTCTGCAGCAGCAGAGCTGGCCCTGCTGGACATAACTTCTATGTAGACTGCTGAATTGTACACGAACCTGGTTTTTGCAATCAAATTTGCAGAGCATTTGCAAGCAGCCCATGAAAGCCATTACCTATCTTACTTATATGGCTTCTTCATTCTCGTTTCTTATTCCTCCTTCCTGTCTCCTGACTCCTCTGTATTTTTATTTGCTTTTCTCATTTTTTTCTTACGCTCTTCTGTGGCAACAGGACAAAGTAGCTTCCAAACCTGCCCTCTTCCCACCTTCTGCCCCATCTCTTTCTACTCCTTCGCTTCTTCATTATTAGGAGCAGCCCCAGGTCAACGGTGTATCTGCCCTCATTAGTTAAAAAGAGGGTTTGAAAATGCTTCTTAAACCTCTAACGTGGTTGCTTGGCTATCATGCCTTATTATCATCACAGTGTTGTACACAGGGCTGTAATTGCATCAGAGGCTTCTGGCTCGTATCAAACGCACTGCCAAAGAGCTCAGCTAGCCTAGTAATGTCACCAGCACTTCAGCACAGAACTGCAATTTTAGATGAACTGATTTCAGCTCACTGCCTGCATTAATAACTGCACTGGAAGGGCAGTGAGCAGCGTGTGCTTTGTTCCTGCAAAAGCAAGGTTTTCTCTGGGAAGGAGGGCTGCTGCTGTAGACTCAACAGGACTGTGCTGTCTTCTGTGAGGCGGGTGGACAGACAGACTGCTCTGCCCCTGCACAGCCGAGGCACTAGTGAGGTAGCCACAGTGAGGTGGTGTTATTGATGGTTATTCTCTCTTCTCCTATTCCCAACTTGGCATAAAACACACTGACACAGAGCTCTGACTGTTGTTGTGGACAGACACCTTCCAGAGGTGCTAAGCCTCTCTTCATAGATGAGGCATACTCAGATTAGGCAGCAGGGTCTTGTCACTAGTGCAGTGGGCTGAGGAAGAAGATGTGTCACATCCTCATCCCACGACTAACATAGACTTTCTTCTGCGACCTTGGTCAATTCACTAGCCTCTGTTTACCACCCATGCTGTGACCATTTATTGGCCCTATAAGGCTGTGTGACAGAGGAGGAATTTGCTCACTCCAGGCCCCAGTGCCAGGAATGCAGCTCGTGGTGCTCAGTGGAAGCTCATGCTCTCCCCTCCTGAACCACTGGGCAGCCTGTCGGGTTATCTGTCATCCCATTAGCACCAGTGCCACCAGTGGACCAAAAGCAGTGGGCAAAGGCAAACACATTCCAGGCCCTGCAAGAACTGAGTCTTCTGCAGAGAAAGACTGGCTGGGCCAGCAGGCTGTGAAATGGGTTTACATGTTGTTAAAAAAGGAGGAAATGGAATCACTGCCTTTCTGTTTGGAGACACCTGGCTGTCTGCTTGAAGAGAGGTGCAGCAGTCATGGTGAGTTAACAGCTGCCTCAGAGCAGAGGTACCACCACCTCATAGAAAACTGAGAGTCACCCACTGACCACATGGCTTTGTTATGAACCTGCTTCCCCAGCATCCCTTGAGCACCACATCGTTCAAACAGTAACAGAGCAGAGCTTGGCTTTTCCCAGGGATGTCCTCTGGGAGAAGAGTCCAGTACCAACAACTATCAGTGGCATGGGCCAGGGCCTCTCTCCTGTTTGTGCAGGATGAGCAGGTGAGCCGGGATTCATGCAAAGAAGTTTGTTTTTGCTACCCAGCTCTGCTCTGCATTTGACCGAGGCAGCAGTGAAGCAATGAATGAGTCATGTCCCTGTGATCTGTGTCATGACCATGCTTGCTACCTCCTGCCCAGTTGAGCAGTGTGCCAGCACATTGGCATGTCTCCTCTGAGGCCTGCTGGTCACAGCTGGCACCAGTCAAATGCAGATCACAAACCAGTGTCTTATCACAGTAGGAATACTCTGCTGTGATTTATAAGGAATGTGTGTCCAACCAGACTAGCTCCTGCAGCACAAGAAGTTAAGCCAGAGCCACTTCTGTGTCAGAAAAATTTCCTTGCAGAGCCAATATCTTGCTGAAAAAGGCAGCCCCTTGAGACAGCAGTGTATGTTAAAAGAAGCATCTTCCTTTTTAGACTTCATTTACTGTGACCCAAGAAAAATTTGACCCCATCAGCTAGCTGGAGCACGGAGAGACTAGTATCTAGGAGGTCCCAGAATGTCCCAGAAACAATGCAATGCTGGCAGAGCCTTGCAGTGTCCCACACTGCCTCCATACCACCATGAGGGGAGCCTGTTTCAGATAGGCTTCCAGTGCGTAAGGCAGAGAGTGGGATCTTCACTTAGAGTGCCTCTAGGTAAGTCAAAGATACAAGCACAGAAAATCCAAGGAGGCAACTTCCTACCCCAAACATCCATGTGTCACTTGGAGCACTCCTGCAATCGCCTCTCAGAGGACTAAACATGGGGTAGACCCACTCAGCCTTTGCTCACAAGCTTCTCCAGATGAAAGGGCTTGGTGAGGGACAAGCACCTACAAGTCAGCATTGATGTTGGACAAAGGGTGGGCTCCCTCATGGAATATGGGTGCTGTGGAAGTGCAGTGCGAGGGGTGGGTCGGCGGGGCAGGCACAGCTCCCAGTCACATAGCCATGAGGACTGGCAGTTGAGGACAGCAAGGTGGGTGGCAGCTTCCTCCCTCACCGCAGGAAGACAAGAGGCCTGAATTGCAGACAACCGGTGTGACAAGTGAAGGCAGGGTATTACAACATTCCTGCATGCTGGGGTGGGTGAATAAGGAGGCAGAGTCCTTCTCTCATGGCCCGTGCAGAGGGACTTGCATCCCTGGTTTCAGTGGCAGTGTAGCAAAGCTACACTGGTAAAGGCAGGTCTAGAATTAAATCCACTAAGTGGGCTGAGAACACCTCAGTGGACACACCTCATTGGCACTCTCAGGGAGTAAAGCATGAGACAGGACAGGGATGCTGCAATTGAGAAGTTCCTTGGAAAATTGCTAATAAGGAGAACAGAACATAGCCATGCATCAGATGTTTGTCTGTTGAGTGTTTTTTAGGTCTCCTATAGAAAACATTGGAAATTTAATGTCTGAAAGGTCAATTTATTTACCAAGGCATGGCAAAACAGCATCACAACATGGTCCGCTTGCCTAAGAGTAATCTTGTAAGAGGGAGAGCAACCAGGCAACCTCTCCCTCATGCCTGCACACCTTCTGTTTATGTAAGGAAAGTTTTTACAAGCAGAGCCTGTGAAACATCATACCTGTATTCCTGGAATAGCTGCAATTAAATACATGCCATATGTTAAAGCAAAGCAGTGTTAGTTTGCCCTTCAGTTACCTGCCCATACAAAAATTACTTGTAGAGGCACTGCATGTCATGTTGCCATAAGGTTTCCGTCACTTCTGCAGATGATTTCAGAACAAATTCATCTTAGGTAGACCATGGTCTTTCTTCTAGTCCTTTACCACACACCCTGCTCAACAGAACTTCAGCAATTTTAATCCTGCTTTTAACACTGACTCTATGTCCCTGCTCCACAGGTC